TTTTATTAATATATCAAATGTGATTTAAATAGTTTTACCGTATGATTTGCTTTTCAAATTTTATAATTTTATTATGCACCAATCGTCACTGACTAATATACTTAATTCAGTTGGGTTATTGATTTTATTGATGAAATTACAGTGATATTTTTAAGTTTAAATAATTATAAGGAGTAAAAATATTGATAATAAGTTTTTCCAAAGTTTATGGGGGGGGGGGGGGAGAAAAATGATAATCCAAGAGTCCCACGTAGAATATAATTAACAAAATTTAATGTTTTTCAATTTAGATTATGTGATTTATTCTTTTTCTCTAAAAGGTGAAACATGTTTTCCATGGAATCCCATGAAAGATTTGAAAAGTTGTTTTGTCAGCTAATCAACTATAATATTGACTAGTGTAATTAGCCAAATCAAAGGATCTAGATCAATGGGTAAATAAATAGATTATTAGGTGAAAGTTTGGTTTCTCTATATTATAAATCTACCTATATAAAATGTGTATATGTAAAGGACATTGTTTGATAAACTCGGTCTATACATTCATTGTCATAATAATAATAATAATAATAATAGTAGTTGATGATTTTATGGGTATGAATCAAAATATTTGTTTTCATATTTAAATTCTTTATTATAAGATATATTATGTTATTATTAATGTATAAATATTGTTTAATTATTAAAATAAATAATTTTTTATTAAAAATAAAAAAAATATTATCTCAATATTCGAAAACTGATCAAATAATAAAGTTATTGTTTAAAATTTATGAGTAATTATTTTTAAAAAATAAAAGTAAATATATCTATCAATTAAATAAATAAAATATAATAATGTAATTCGAATCAACAACTTATTGTAAAAAATAATAATTTACCAACTATAAAGTTAAATATGAATTGACTATATAAATAGTTAGGTACCTTATTTAATTGGATGAAGTGTTCCTAATCGGTTCACGTTGTCATTTTTCTTGGCAGCATATCTATTGGTAAAAGATTTTCTCATGTTCATATGAGAAATTAATTAATAGTTAATGTAATGATCGTATAATATATATGCATATGTATATATATACTTTAATTAATGTGGGTCTTTATTTTTAATTAATTTAATTAAATTGTAGGTAGAGATTCCTTCCATCAAAAAGAGAGATCACATTGTTTAGTATTAATTAGGGTTTTAAACTACCAATCATAGATTAACAACCGTTCATGTTCTACAAATATTATATTACCCCCGAGTGGGATAACTAGTCCTCCTTAATGTCATGGATGACCTTAAACCATATAAAGTGATCTTAATTAATTAATTAATATTATAAATCATGCATTAAACCGTCAATTTCACGATTCATGTTTTTTTTTTTTATTTTAAGTACATCGACCTGTAAATTTATCCCCTTTCTAAAACTATATTTTTTTTATTAAAAATTTTATTAATGAGAATTGGTTTTGTTAGTTAGAGAGTGTAAAATAATATTCAATTTTAAATTATTAATTTATTAAATTATATCAAATGTAACTATATTCTTTAAATTAGATCTGAGTTATATTTATATATATAATATTTGCATATATATATGTTGGGTATCATAAGGAGATCGTGATAATCTCTTTTTAATTATTAATTATCATGTGATAAGCAAGCTTTATCTTCAATATTAAGCAATTATAAGCAACAACAAAAAAAAAAAAAGGGTTGGTTTTAACTGCCTTGTACATATATATATATATATATATATGTACAAGTACATGTATGTATGTATTGGAATTAACGATAATCTTGAAAAGGAATAATCTATTTTCATAATTAAATCATCAAAACGGCGACGTCGGCAGGTTTTAATTAAATCACTAAACACACGATCATTAGTCAAATAATGGCACTAAACAAACCATGGTTAGCCCCTCCTATATTTTTATAAGTATATACATGTTAATGCCCGCATACAATTATATTTATAATCAACAATATAAATAATAATATTGTTTATTTTTTCTTACATACATATGTATATATATATATATGTCATCTTAAATGTATAGAAGTATTCTATAAATTAAGCACATATACACATATATGTATGGGTGTGCGTGTGCGTGTGCGTGTGTGTATACATAAATATATATATATATATATATGTAGGGGTGCATCCAACTAAGGTTTGCACTTAATAAAAAGAGTCATCAAACCGACCCACTTCCTAAATTCCACATTAAACTGTGTAAACATCATAAAGCACCAACTGGGTGCATCTCACGGGGTACAAAATTACAAAAATTAATTGTGTATATATCATGTCACTTCATTAATCCTCTTGATAATTTTAATTATTTTTGTTAATTACAAATAAAATTGGTCCAATATGAAGAATTAAATTTAGGGTTTGCGTGATTACTTTTTTCATGTTAGAAATTATTATTGAATAACACAATT